CTGTGGTTGACCTTAGCTTGCCCTGTTAAATGTAGATGGCTGAAGCCCAATGGAGACAGATGAGTAACTATTTCACCATTTCAAGCATTGGTGGTATTCAGGCTAGGACTTGGTATAGGCCTCTCTAAACGAGCCAACTAATCAAGACTCAATGCATTCTTATTACCACAGCTGGGATGGTGCAAGTTCTCCATCTTGATAACGTTTTTAAAAAGCTCTAATCACAGGGCTTGTCTTTAAACCACGTCAGGAGCTAAAAATGGTCATTTATGAGGGTATGGATCCCAGTGCTTTTGCTGGGACCTTAATCAGTACACTTTTCCTCCTTCACAGGTATCCTGGAAGCTTGAAGGGAAAGGTTCAAGTCTAGCCTTGATTGAAGCCCCACTAATTGACTTGTTCTGCCATCAGTTGGCCATGGACCTGTACTGCAGGATGCCTACTACACACCCAGTGCTGAGCTGTGGAAAATCCAGAACACGTGACCACCAACAATCATAAATAGTGGCTTCTCAAAGGGACAAGTTGTGTCAGAGACCTAGCTGGATGCATAGCAGGTTTTCTTTATTCTCAGATTCAGGCTTCTCTGCTTGGGGCAGCTCCCTCAAGCACAGTGTAAGTATAAATCGGGGGAACACAGAACATGTACTTCTTCCTTCCTAATATTGTTGACAAAAGTATGTTGTTTACGTATTGAAAATCCTGGGATGGTGTGAACTCACAGGGAAAGGGCAGGAGGGGACCTCCTTGATCAAATGTCTAAGATAAAGGTGAAGGCTGGAGTAACAAAGAGCCAGCTGACGACCTTGTCCCTCCTGTAAGGTGCCTGCACCCCTGCATCATCAGGCGTATGATCTGGTGGCTACACTTACATGCCAGGAGAGGTGCTCCCCCAAGGGTGTGTGTCAGCATTCTTGATGCGGCTTTCTCAACTACGGCCGCATGGTTCTCTCCCGACGCGTTCCCACGAAAGTAGATTCAAGCTGGGGGAAGGTGGACGTATCTTGTGAAGTGTTGCTTTTTGAAAATTCAAAATATATGTTTGAAAATTCAAAATATATTCAAAATAAAATATAGGGCTTCCATTAGGCCCTATTTTTATATAATAATCTAGAAATAAATCATATTCCACTATTTGCTTCAAAAAAAGTAAGAAATGCTTAAGTTCTCTTTACATTGATGTCAAAGCATAGCCATGAGTTAGGCTGTGCAGGAGGAAGGTGTTTGGCAAGGGAGATTTTTTTTCCTGACAAAAATCCTGAGAGGTATTTGTTTTAGTAAACCAAAGGGAAATTCTGTGAGTCTCTGGTTTGTGCCTCTAACTGTCTTCCTCAGTGAAAACAGCCTGTGTCCATGCCTGTGTCCTGGGTGGACTGAATTCGTTCTAGTGAGATGCTGTGGTAAGCGGGAGATACCCCTTGGGAAGGGCCGTGTTGTTCACGTGCAGCTGCTTTCAGCCAGTGCTGTCCTGCTGCTGGGACGGGAACACTATTGGCTGTCATCGCTGCTGTGCCTGCTGTTTTGGCTTACAGTACAAGACCCCACGGTCCCACATCTCTAATGATACACAGAGCGCCTCTGGTCTCTAGGAGGTGGGAGGGGACACTATTTCCAGCTTTAACCATATGCACCACAAGGAGATCCAGCGACCCTCTGGTGGAGAAGCAGGCATTCCATCGCCGGAGCTTCCCAAGGGAACAGGAGACAACAGAGTGCAGGAAATGCTCAGAACCAGGAGACCTTCATTTCAGTCCAGCATTCACTTAGTTCCAGTGGCTTGGGGTAGCTTGGACTCAGTTTACTCCTTTGTAAAATGGGGATAATGCAGGGTGCTCTCATGTGGAGCTAAAGAAACAATGTGTGAAAGCCCTTTGCATATAAAATTTATGTAAAGAAGAAGTATTGGTCCTGTGTTATTACGACACATGTCTGACCTCACTCCATTACTAACATGACTACTCAAGCTTTCTATGATGACCCACCCCCAACCCCCAGGCCTCTCTGTTTACCGGATTTACATGAGAATTTTAGTTACTGTGCAGAGCTGCAGTCAGCTGATGCAAATATGGAAAATCAGGAAAGGTCTGTTTCTGGAAGGTGAGGTCTCTTTAGTGCAACGGGAAATGAGACAGGGGCAGAGACAGAGTTTTCAGTTTCTGATAAAGGAAGAATGAGACAGCCCCAAGATGCAGTGAGTAGACAGAAATGTTCTAGTGGGTGAGTTGAGGTCTTGGAAGAAAAGCAAGCTGATGCCATCTGGCTGTGTGTGGGAAGGAAGGGGAGAGGACACTAGTGAGGACCCATAGTGGGGTTGGGCTGGTGGCAGCAGGTGGCCGGGGAACTGGAGCAGGCAGATACGTGACATGCCAGCAGCTCTGCTCTCTGGGCCTGGAGCCTAGCTGACCAAAACACAGGGAAGTACAGCTCATAACTCATAACCTGCTCTATCCTTGAGGATACAGTGACCCTTATTTCAAAACGTAGAAATACGGCAATAAGAGAGCAATAACTATGTCTGCATCTCATTTAGTCACCTGCCACTGTTACCACTGTGCAACAGTGCCCCTCATCCGATTTTCTAGCCACATAACCATGATTCTATTTCTTGAACATGCCAAGTTCCTTCCTGCTCGAAGCCTCCAGGCCTGCCGTTCCCCCTGTAGGAGTGCTCTTCCTCTCACTGCTGCAGACCTCTCACCTTTCAGGTCTTGGTTTCACATCATCTCCTAAAAATGGTTTTCCCTGACAGCTCCATAACCAAGAATCTACCTGTCTCCAGCACTCCCTCCTCTCCATCCTCTTGGTGACAATTACTGAAATGTGTACCCCTGTGTTTGCTGTTGTTATTTACTTGTTTATGGCATGTTTCACCATTAGATGGTGGAGTCTGCTGTATCTGCAGAGACCACTGTCTCTGTAGCACTGATATGGTCTGACTATGTCCCCACCCAAATCTCATCTTGAATTGTGGCTCCCATAATTCCCTCATGTTGTAGGAGGGGCCAGTGGAAGATAACTGATTCACAGGGGCAGATCTTTCCCATGCTGTTCTTGTGGTGGTGAATAAATCTCATGTGATCTGATGGTTCTATAAAGGGGAGTTCTCCTGCACACGCTCTCTTGCCTGACGCCATGTAAGATATGACTTTGCTCCTCCTTCACTTTCCACCATGATTGTCTGGCCTCCCCAGCCATGTGGAACCATAAGTCAAACCTCTTTCCTTTATAAATTACCCCAGTCTTGGGTTTGTCTTAATTAGCAGCATGAGAACAAACTGATATAAGCACCTAGCACAGTCCCTTGCACATAGGGGAAGCTCAGTGAAGACTGTACTGGCCACACAAGGAATCTTCAGAGCCATACTTTAGGGAAGGCCTTATGATCTCCATGTTATGGACAGGAACTAAACCGTTGTTCAAGGTCACATACCTAGTAGTCAAGGGCAAGTCCAGAATCCTATCCCAGGTGTGGCAGAGACAGAGCCTAAGCTCTCTGTTCTTGCCTCTGACTCACTGACTCATGGTTGAGTCTGGATGCTGTGGGGATTTCTATTTTCTGGAGCTCCCCAAGACTTGACACTTTGAGTTTGCAGAATATGCTTCAGAAAGACCCAAAATGCAAGATGATGTCATGCTGGCAGTGTGAGCCCAGGAACTGCAGCTCTGATTTTGTGACCAGTCTGAGTGACAGGCTCTTTGAAGGACTTTTGCTCCCCTGCTCCATCGGGTAGGATCGTTTCCCATTTCCTGCTCAAAAGGCCCCTCCCTTGTCTGAATTCCAAATCCATTTTCATTCTCAATCTTTCAACTCAGTACCCAGTTACAAACTGTCTCCCATTACCTCTTTTTTTTTTTTTTTTTTTTTTTAACCAGCCTTACCCGTGTCTGCTCCTGCCTTGCTAACCAGATTATAAAGCTCTGGAGGATGGGCATGGAGTCTTCTACTTGTTTTGTTCTCCTTGGTGCTGAGTGCATGCATGACAGCAGCAGTAAAACAAGCTGACAGCACGTTGACAAGGAAAGCTTCTGCTGATAAATCAATGCAGTTTAATCTCTGATGAAGCCATAAAGATACTCTTTGTAACCCCGTGCATCTGGTGGTTGGCGAGGACGAGGGAGTTTATGTAGGTGACCTATGCTTATGCGTTGTGGACTGCAAGTCTACTATGTGCTGGTTTGCACACCCTTGTTTTAATCTGCTCATGCAGGGATGAATGCCACTAGACCCCTAGTGGGGATGCGGTAAGCCCTGGTCTTGCCTTTCCCATGGCTGACTTTCTAGTTTTGAACTGCACCTGTGTGCTGCCCTGTCTCAGACTGTGGGAACCTATATCAGGCAGAACCAGAGCCCTACTGGCCAGTCCCTTGGTTTCTTGCGGAACCTGTCCCACCCAGCTCCTTCCCCAGCACTTTGCACATCCTCAACTGGGCTTAATCAAAGCAATAACGAGGAATGTTACAGGCTCCGTGAACTCTACTGCAGACAGAAACAGCACCAAACCCTTGGGCCGTGGGAAGACCACTGAGCTCCGTGACTCAAGGTGACACACAGAAAGGTTGGCTCCACACTGTGACTTCCTGACTGTGTCCAGATGTGACCATTTTGGTGGTTGAAACAGCAGAGGTAATTTTCTTACTGCCGCTTTTCAGTTTCAGTAAAGTAAGCGATCTAGGTGATAAGAATACACCTGATCTTTACAAAGCTACTTCCCCACCAGACTTGGTACAATTCTTTTCAGAGTGAATAAAAAAATGAAGCCTATCAGCATTTGTACTTTTCCTAAATTGGCCTGTGTAACTTACCTCTGTAATCATCAATAGACTGTGTTTTTCTCTCCTCTCTTACCCCTCCTGGTTCCCCCACTCACACTCACTTTCTCTCCCCATCCCTTTGAAATTTTTACCCTGGCCAGTGGCTACCTGACTCAGCGACAGAGGGTTAAATGTGTGCTCCAGACCTGCACATGTGGAGGGAAGGCCAGTGCTTCTTAGGGACTCACCCAGAGGGCAGTGGGAGCACGGTGGCCTCCAGGGGGTGCTGAGGTCCCCTCGTCTGCCACCTTTGTGCTGCAACTCTGGGGATGTGGCCATCCTGGCTCCTCTTCCACTTGCTGCTCACTTTTGCTCTTCTGTTTTCGTATAATCTGGGGAGCGGAGGACGAAAAAGGGGCAAGTTATTGGAGAGGCCTCCTGATGCTATGTGGAGTAACTGGGACCATCTTTGGAATTTTTTTCAGCTACTTACAAGATTAATTTCAACAGAACACCAGGCTGTTTCAGATCTGCTTTATGAGAAACCAGCACAATGACAGCCTTAAGCATTCTAAGCATTTCACAGTTTACAAACAATCCTTTCATGATGTTAACAGTTTCTTCTATTTATTGAGTGCCTAGCATGCGTCAGACCTCATGTTAGGTATTGTGTATGCTTCACCTCACTTAATTCTAGAGGGTACGTACTATAATTCTTTCCATTTTATAGATGAGGAAACAGGCTCAGTTATGGCCACACAGCTCATAAATGATGGTGCTGAATCTCAAACTCGGAGCCTCTGGCTGTAAGTCCTGACTTTAGGAGGCGTCTGGAAGCCCTGTCAAGGGGGCAGACACGAAGAGTCATCAAGAATGGCTCCAGACCCAGCTCATCTGCACAACCATTTGGATCTAGTGAGTCTATCTGTACCAGGGCCTCTGGGCTCTCAAGTTCCTATTCAGTTCCTAGGAGACAGCCAAGAACTGTGCTAAGTCACCAAGATGGGCATATTCTTCAATGTTCCTTTAGGCCAGACAGGCAGATAAAAGGAAGGCTGAGAGCCCGGAGAACAATGAAGTGAGGTGCCATCTCCCATGGCAGGGTGGGGACCCAGCCACATTGCCCCTCAGGATGTCGGAATTGCTGAGGACCAGTGACTCCTGGTCCCTCCCATTCTTTCCTCTGCAGGTGGGTGGGGCCGGTGCTGTCTCCCTGTCTCTCTTCCAACATTGCATGGGGGTATATGGGGGGAGATAATTTGTTTGCTTTGTTTACAGATCTCCAGCTAAAAAGGAGCTGAAACTGCATCAAATGTACTTTGAACCACGATTGGATGAGACATGAGGGTCTCTGGGTGTGGTGAGTCTACTTGACATATGGAAGGGATATGAGTTATTGTGACCAAAAGGGAAGTTTTTCAACACTTCCTGCATATGGCACTTTGTCGAGTGACTCTGTAGACCCTCCCAGTACAGGGAGAATCTGCTTCCCCGTCCTTGGCTTGGGCTTGATGTGCGACTTGCTCTGGTCAATGACATGTGAGGAGGGAGTCAGTGACCATATGCCAGGGCTAAGCCTCAGCCTTAAGAGGCAGTGTGCACTTCCTCTTGCTGTCTTGTGCTCCTGTCGTGGCCACATGCAGCTGAGGTGCCTTCACTTGGGCCCCAGAATGAACATGCTGCAGCTGACTTTGTCCCAACCCACAGCCAGAAATGCAGCAACTACAGAGGTATGAGTGAGAAAGAAACTGGTGCAACAAAACATATATTCAGATAGTCCCTGACTTAAGGGGTAGGAAAGTGGTGTGTATTCAGTACAGCATTCCATAAACTATATTAGCTGTTAAACAGTATTATAAAATACGCCTTGGGTTTGATGACTCTGCCCAGGGACAGGCTAATGCAAGTTCTGAGCATGTTTATGAGAGGCTAGGCTAAGCTATGATATATTAAGAGTAGTTTAGGTGTATTAAATGCATTTTGACTTACGATACTTTCAACTTAGGATGGGGTTACTCTCTGGACTTAATCCCATCCACTGTAAGTTCAGGAGCATCTGTGTTCGGTCTTTGTCCCCAGGTCCTGGCAGAGTTTCAAAAATCCTTGGAATTATTTGAGTGATAGGAGTATCTTTGTTACACTAACAAGGTGATTCAAGGAGGCCCTTAGGTAACTTTAGGATGGGGGCTGGTTGCCAGAAAAAACAGCTACAGTACATGATTAGAGGGCCGGGAGCAGAAAGACTAGAGAGTGTGTTCAGTCAGGTAATCACTCATTTAAGCAGTCATGCCTAGATAGTGAAACCTGGCTAAAATCTCGGAAGCAACAAGGCACAGAAAGCTTCCTGGTTGGTGCATACATAGATGTGTTGGGGGAGTGACATTCACAGAGAGGGCGTGGGAGCTCTGTACACCCGGTCCCCGGACCCTGCTGCCCTAAGTGTCTCTTCATGTGGCTGTGCACCTGTACCCTTTATATTAAACTGGTAATGGTAAGTAAAGCACTTTCCTGAGTTCTGTGAGTTCTAGCAAATCATTGAATTGAGGGTCCAGGGTCGTGGAAACTCCCGAATTCGTAGCAGGCTAGGGAAAAGTGTGGTGACTTCGGGATATGTGAAACTTGTGGCTAGTGTCTGAAGTGGGGGCAGTCTTGTGGGACTAAGCCCTTAACTTGTGGGGTCTGCACTAAATCCAGGAAGAAGTTAGTATCGGAATGGAATTTCACTTCAGTTGGTGTTGAGAATTGGCTGTGGAAGACAGAAAGATCCTTTTCAAAAGCCAGAGTTTTGGGGTTGTTTGTTTGCAAGGAATAGTGTAGGGCATGGACCTAGCAGGAGAGACTGCAAAGCAGTGCGATGCATTCCCTCTGTGTGGGTCCCCAAGGCACAAAAGGTTAAAGTGAGAAGGTGCAGTGCCAGACACACTCCTCATGTTTCACCTGTGGGTCCCCAAGGCACAAAAGGCTAAAGTGAGAAGGCACAGAAAGTGCAGTGCCAGACACACTCCGCATGTTTCACCTGTGGGTCCCCAAGGCACAAAAGGCTAAAGTGAGAAGGCACAGAAAGTGCAGTGCCAGACACACTCCGCATGTTTCACCTGCTACTTGCCAGAGTCCCTGCTCCAGGCCCAGCCAGGAAACTGCATCCTTCCCGCTGCCGGGGCCACCTACCTTCTGCAGGATTGTCGTGGCCAGCTCCTCAGTTAGCTCCTCCTTGTGGTCCCGCAGGTAACTGGCCTCGTTCTGCTTGTCCTGAGGAGGGAAGAGAAAGGCTGTGTGTTGTGGGTGGTTAGGGGTGACTTTCCCAGGAGAGTCTCGACCACAAAAGCAAAGGGAGGTCAGGCCCTGCTCTAGTCAGGGCTGCTGGGACATTGATTTCCGGACAACCTGCACTTTCTCCTGGCAGCCAGGACCCTGACCCACACCCCTCCAGGCAGAAAGGAGCAGGAGGGGCCCTACCAGGCTGTCCCCATACGCTTCTGCTTTGGAAATCGCTTCCTCAATGGCCTCTTCAGCCACCCGGAGGGCCACAGCCAAGGTGTCCATCACACTATGTCCTAGAGAGGAAATAGAACAAAGAGCACTTCTAAAAGGGAATGATGAGTTAAAGGACGGTTCAAGCTCTTCTGCTGAAACTTTTCAAGGGCTCCGGGATAAGTTCTAAGCTGCTTACTGCGGCACACAAAGCCCTGACCTTTCCCACCTGCATCACTACTGCCTTCCACGCATCACTCACCATCATCATCATCCCATGCCTCAGATGCAACAAATTATTTGATTCTTTCAGACCTGTTATCTCATTCCCCCTCCCTCCTAGTCTCCTGCTCCATAACTGAGCTGGTTCCCACGGACCCCAGGGCTTGGCCCCAAAATTGCTCCCCTAACAAATCTCAGATCCTTTCAGCCCTGCCCTTTGCTGGAGGTCTGTCCCAGGTTCTGGGCTTGCTTTCATCAGCTAGAAAGGCTACGTGCCCCAGGCCTTTCCCACAGGTCATTTTCAGAGAGCAAGAATTGATCATCTTCATTGTTGTATCCTAACATGAAGCACTGGTCTAAGCATATAGATGACTGAACAAAAGAGCTTAAGGTAAAGAAATAATGGTTCTTCATCCACTTTCTCAGATAAAGATTAGGCTTTATTTTGCACATATAATGTATTATTGTGAGTATGGGGAAAATGTTATTAAATATACTAACTGGGCTGGTTCCAGTTATGTCATATATATATGACTTAAAGCAAAGATATACTCCATGTATAATTTTTTTAGACTATAAACCAATATTAACAACACTGGCCAACCTCACAGAACTCAGCCACATGGCAGGCCCTGGGCAAGAGTTTCACCTACATGATCACAGTTAATTCTGACAAAAATCCAGTGGTAAGTAGGTGCCATATAGGTACTGTTTTACAGTTGGTAAATTTGAAGCACAGAATGGTTAAATAACTCACCCAAGGTTACACAGCAAGATAGTAAGAAGGCTAAGATTTGGATCCAGTTTGATTCCAAATTTTATTTTGAATTTGGATTCCATTCCTTTGAATCCAAAGCCCCCATTTTAGCCACAAAATTGAGATGAATACAAGCTAACATGATCAGGAAATATAGTACTATCATATTTTTAGTGAACATTATGTTTTTTAAGACATGGCAACAAATGGGAGAAAGTAAAGGACTTCCCAGGTGACAAAGTTCTTTTTGGAGCTAGGTGCTGGGAAAAGCTCTGTTTCCCTTGAGATCCTGGATTTTAGCTTCTTACTGATGAGAATTTCTATCCTCCTACTCTTAGTTTTTCCCAGAGGTCCAAGTCACATCATGTGCAAGAATGTAGGTCAGCAAAGGTTGGGTGCCTGGGTCTCCTTTTCCCCAATTTCAACCTCCTGTTTCCATTTATAATCTCCTACTCATATTATTTAACACATGCAAATCTCTTGTAAGCTGCTGAAAATGCCTGTGGAATGAGACAGGGTGTGAATACATCAATTCATTAATTACTCAATTAAAAAAATAATTCAAGCTTCTTAGACCCTTAAGGACACAATTGTAGACAGAAAATATCATTTGGCAAATATAATAAAGTCTCTAAACAACCCACTTAAGATCAAAGTGATCGAGCTCGCTGATGAGTATGTCACAAGTCAGCTATGACAGTCGTGATAGACCATGATAGAGCCAGGCAGCCCAGCCCAGGCTCTGCACACCACCAGGTGGCTGACTGAACAGTCTTTCCAGTGTTTTGATAACTAGAGCCTACATGATCTAAGCTGTCATCACACTAAGAGCTACCTGGTAGCAGACACTGTATCTCCCTTCTCTCTTCTTCAAGATAGTCACCAATGTATTTTTCAAAGAAAAGGTCTACAAATTTTCATTAACTCAAACAAATGTTTACTGAGTGCCTTTTGTGTGCTAGGCGCTGTGATGGCCCCAGTGATAACCTGGTGGACAAGCTGAGTCCATGCTCTCATGTGCCTTCCGAGCTATTGGAAGACTAGACACAAAAGTAACCACTAAGAGGCATGCGTAACTATCCACATGATAGAGACAGTCACCAAGTTCTATGGACCCCTGGGAGGCAGGCACCTGGAGCTGTAACTAGAAAGGCTTTGGATGCTGTGATTGTAATTCTTGGATGAAAGCAATGTGGTACACTGGGTAAAAAGTAAAGTCTCAGGTCAGCGTTTTGGAGAGAAAGGCTGGCAAGGGTGTGGAGGAAGATTAAGAAGGCAAGGTGGCCAAGGTTCAGAAGACCAGCAAGATGGTAGGATGGTCAATGTGTCAACATGACTAGGCTGTAGTACCCAGTTATTTAATCAAACACTAGTCCAGGTATTGCCGTGGATGTATTCTTTAGATGTGGTGAACATCTACAATCAGTTGACTTCATGTAAGGGTTGCCCCACAATGTGGGTGTGTCTCATTCAATCCATTGAAAGGCCTTAAGAGCAAAAACTGAAGTTTCCTAGAGGAGAAATTCAGCCTGAAGACCAAAGCACCAACTCTTGCCTGAGTTTTCAACATACTGGCCTACCCTGTATGTACTGGGCTTGCCAGTCCCCTGCAACCCTGTCCCCTGCAACTGCATGAGCCAATTCCTTAAAAGGAATCTGTGTGTGTATGTGCATGTCCACACATATATTTAGTGTATTGCAGAACCTTGCTGATATAGATGGTCACTCAAATTAACACTAATACTGGAGAGTTTCAAGCAGAGAGGTATGCAGGATATGGGCTGCAGAATAGAAAGAGAAGGGTAAGATTGAAAACAGACTGACAGGTACTTAGGTAGCTGGGAGGAAATGAGGAGAGAGACTGAAGGAAACATATCTCTTGCTGGTGGACCTAAGTGCCTAAAGAGCTTGACTAGGACAAGCTGGGGTTAAGAATCCTATATAATGTTCAGGAGCTAATGGCCAAGCATTAGAAATCTGAGTCTAGAACTCTGGGATAAAATCAAGTCTGGGCATTTCTGGCTCAGCAGCAAATGGAGGTGCACTTGAGGTCATACAATGGTGTGTGGTAACCTATGGAAAAGCTGCAGGTAGTAAAAATAATAGAGGACACACTTTTCATGAGAAGGCACCTGTATTAGGGTTCTTCAGAGAAACAGAACCAAGAGGATATACATAGATATAAAATAGGAGATCTATGATGGGAATTGGCTCATGTGATCAAGGGAACCGAGAAGTTCCATGATGTGCTGTGTGCAAGCTGGAGATCCCTAAGAGCAGTGGTATAATTCAGTCCAAGTGTGAAGGCCTGAGAAATGGGGGATCTGCTGGTTTAAGTCCTGAGTCCGAAGACCCAAGAATCAGAAGCGCTGATGTGTGAGGGCAAGTGAAGATGGATGTCCCAGCTCCAGAAGAGGGAGAGTAAATTCACCCCTCCTCTGCCTTTTTGTTCTATCTGGGCTTTTGATGGATTGGATGACACCTGCTCACACTGATGAGGGTGGATCTTCTTTTCTCAGTCTATGATTCAAATGCTATTTTCTTCCAGAAATATCTTCACAGACACACCCAGAAAAAAGGGTTCACCAGCTATCTGGGCATCCCTTAGTCCAGTCAAGTTGTTGCATAAAATTAACTATCATAGCTCCCAAAGAGAGAATAGAGGGTGCAGATGAGCTGTGGTGGTCACAAGAGGAAGACAATTCAGGGAGCACTGATTATCAATGTCCAGTACTTCAGAGAAAGAACTGAAGTGATGGATAAAGTTTTATTTGAAATTAGAAGTTTGTTTTGCTTTTAACCACTGCTCTAAGAGGACAATTATATTGGTATAAAAAAGTAGGAGTTAATCAGTAAATGATACATTCTTTACAGAAATATTTTAATGAGATGCACAAGTGAGTGGATTGATACATTCCAACTCCAGAAGAATATTTACTGGTTGACTGTAAAGTATCCATGGTTGGGTAATGAATGCTGTTCTCTTGGCCACACTTTGGATATACTCACCTATTTTGACAATGGATTCATACACTGGCAGTAATAAGTGACCTAGAGAGACTCACACAGAGTAGTAGATAGTTGCATTTGGGGTAACAGTGCAGCTGGGGATTCCTGGCAGTGCCTATACCTGTAGGTTTTTCTATTCCTCCAACTTCACAGTAGCTGTAAACTTTTAAGCAACTTTACCTTCTGACTGCCTATAAAACGTTGAATCACTGCCAGAAATGCTTCCTTCATTCTCCAGGTTTGACTCAAAAAGGCTTCCTCCTGGCAGGGTAGAGATTGGAGAAGAGAACGAATATGATTATCAAAGGTCTTCAGTGAACTCTGATGCGCGGTGCCACTGAACTGACAGACCACTGTTACACACTTGAATTGTTAAACTTGAAAATAGGTTTAGGGCTCATGAGGTCCCATAATAATACTAACATTTTTGACCCGTTGCTTTTTTCTTCTCATACTGATTTCTGGTGCAGCACTGCTGCCAACCCCAACTTTCTTCCCATACCTTCTTTGCAGGCAATATGGAGTCAATGACAGAACAATAGACTAAAGTCTGAGAGATGTGAGGTCAATTCCTGGACCTGCAAATTACTAGTTGTGTGGCTTGGCATGGCTGCATCTAGAATTTATTCATTCATCCAGCAAATAGTCCATGAGCACCAGTAGGTGCCTGGCTTCAGCCCAGGTATTAAGGGTACACTGATGAGCAAAGCTAAACCTGCCCCACCCCACTTTCATAAGCACAGAGTTCCATGTGGGAAATTCATTAATCAAATACTTATATAAATATATATAAAATTAGAGATAGGTTAAGTGCTTTGATGGTATGGTCTACAGCACAGTGAAACTGTTCATCAGGAAAGACGGACTGAGGCAGTGAAGAATCAGCCAGCAGGTGTATGGAGTGGGAGAACATGCAGGGCATAGCAAGCACCTTGCAAACTGATCCTGGGAGAAAGGGTGTGTCTGAAGGCCTAAATGAGAGGCAGCATGGCACGGCTGCAGAGATGAAAAGCAGCTCTGGTGAGGTGACTTGGGGACACAGGCCATGCAGGTCATGGTGGCCACCTCAGTGTTTGGATGTTCATCCCAAAGCCACATGAAGCCCTTAAAGGTTTCACGGAGATGACCTGGTAAGATGTGTGCCTCTAAAAGTGTACTGTGGCTGCTGGGTGGAGAACAGCTTGAGAAGGTGAGTGTGTAGTAAGGAAGGGCAGGCAACGGAAGCCCTGAATGCAGCTCATTTCCTCAAGTTTACCTGTGATGGAAAAGAAGATGGCAGGACAGTCAGGGAAGGGTTTAGAAAACAGGAGTGTTTATAAATCTCAGTAAAGACAGAGATTGAATGAGCAAGAAGTGACCTTGAGACTTTCCTGGAAGGGAGAAGGATAAGATGCAAGACCAAGAGAAGGGATAGGCAACAGAGAAGGGAGATGGTGCCCCCTCCGCAGCTGCATGCAGGGGCAGGTCCCTGCCTGGCATGCCCTGTTGGCAATGGGAAGGAGGATTTGAGGTTGCCTGCTGAGAGGATGGGGAGGGTTGTGAGAAACATGAGGAGAAAGGAGATGTGAAAAGATCTTTGGGAGACTGACCTCACCAGAGGACAAGCCCAGGTTTTGCATGACTTTAAATCTTCTTGTAAAACACCTCTCTGTTTCCCTTTTAAATTGGAGGTGGGAGCATCAGTGTCATTCAGGATGATATGATTTTTTTTCAAGGGCAGAAAGAGACTGAATTGTCAGCACTTTGGGAGGCCGAGGTGGGTGGATCACGAGGTCAATAGATCGAGACCATCCTGGTCAACATGGTGAAACCCCGTCTCTACTAAAAATACAAAAAATTAGCTGGGCATGGTGGCGCGTGCCTGTAATCCCGGCTACTCAGGAGGCTGAGGCAGGAGAATTGCCTGAACTCAGGAGGCAGAGGTTGCGGTGAGCCGAGATCGCGCCATTGCACTCCAGCCTGGGTAACAAGAGCGAAACTCCGTCTCAAAAAAAAAAAAAGAAAAAGCTTGGGCTAAGTACCCAGATGACATGAAACCACTATTTTTCATGAGTTGGCAAAAACTCTAATTTCACATGGCTCAGCATTTTTAAAAGACCACATTTGTCCATCAAATCCCTTTCAAGAATCATATCAAAATTAGATATAGATTAATAAAAGCAAGGTTTATTTTTCCCATTTATTTATCTAACACTACTAAATAAAAGCATATATTCTTTATCCAATTGTCTGAAGACTAAGTATATTAATAATGGCAACTTTTACCTTTTTTATGTAGTACTTCTTTTAGGATAACTGTTAAAAATGTCATGCTGTGTTCTTACTTATAAGTGGGAGCAGAAGAATGAGAACACATGGACACAGCAGTGGGAACAATGCATACTGGGGCCTGTTAAGGGGCAGGGAGAGGGAGAGCATCAGGATAAATAGCTAATCCATGTGGGGCTTAATACCTAGGTGATGGGTTGATAGGTACAGGAAACCACCATGGCACACATTTACTTATGTAATAAACATGCACATCCTGCAGATGTAACCTGGAACTTAAAATAAAATTAAATAAAAAAAAAAATGTCATGCTGGGCCTATCAGAGAAGCCATGTGAGCATGACTTTCTCCACTAGAGTTCTGGCTCTGAGAAATGGCAGGGTCTTACTCATTTCATCACCCCACAACTCAAGCCAGATGGGTACATAAATAGGTATTCAATAAATATTTACTGAAAAATGAATACATCTTAGGTTTATCTGATAAAACTAATGAGTCTTCTTTGAGGCCTAATCTGATCTCCTGCTGTGAGCTGCAGGAGAAGGAGTGAGGTTAGCTAGGGAGCACTGCTGAGCAACTGATGGCACTACAAGGTGCATATGTGATGGGTGATATGTGAGACTCTGGATTGAAGGAATCTTCTGTGAATTGAGCGCTTTTATGGCAAACCACAGTGGTCCACGTAGTGAAGATGTTTTGTAGGTGAAAGGAGCTTTACACTGACAGTCCTAGAGCACAGCACATGCCTTGTGCACTGCAGATTTTGCATATCATGTTCTGACAGTCAAAATTCTGAAAATAAGTACTGTTACATAGAGTTGGAAGAACACTGCTGAACGAATTACTCTGAGTTCTAGCTGAGGCTCTCGCTCTTAATCTTGGCAGTACCTTGGAATAATACAGGAGGCTTTAAAATTATATATATATATACTGGATCCCACCCTCAGAGAGATTCAGGGATAATTAATGCGGGGGGTGGACAATGATTTGGGGTATTGGGAGGTTTTTTTTCAAAACGCCCTCGGCAATTCTAATGTGCAGTCATGAATGGAGGATGGCAGATGATAAACCTACAAAGGGTATTGGGTGACAGGCAAAAGCTAATGAATGGCTCTTGAGTTATCTCACACAGCCAGGAGGCCACTGAGGCCCTGGACGATTTCACCATACTTGAAGTGTAACTAAATTTCTTATTTAGCTTGTAGAATAGATCTCATGGTTTCACAGGTTTGAGTACCATCTCAACTGTCCCCTGTCTGCTTGTCATGTTTCTCCAAAAGAAATCTTGACTTAAATGGAGAAGCAAATAATATGAAAGCAACAGATTCTCATATTTCTACGAAGTGTCTTGGTATTCATAAATTTTTTTTGGATTTGGACAGGGTCTTGCTCTGTCACCCAGGCTAAAGTGCAGTGGCACTATCATGGCTCACTGCAGCCTCAACCTCCTGGGCTCATGTGATTTTTCCCACCTCAGTCTCCCAAGTAGCTCAAAGGATAGGTGCATGTCACCACATCTGGCTAATTTAATTTTTTTTTTTTTTTCTAGAGACAGGGTTGTGCTATGTTGCCCAGGCTGGTCTTGAACTCCTGGTCTCAAGTGATCCTCCTGACTCAGCCTCCCAAAGTATTGGGATTCCATGTGTAAGCCACCATGCCTGGCCCCATAAAATGCTTTTAAGCTTGAACTAGTGCAATAATGAGGGTATAAGATATTCCAGGCCTTGTGCCACACTTTGAGAACACAGATAAACAAGGTACCACCTGCATATACGGTCTGGCAGGAGAGGCAGCTGTGTAATCCTGAATGCAATGTGATACGTGATACGTGCTGTGATTGAGGCTCAGATGAATGAAGTGCTGAATCACAGAGGACCTAGAACCTAAAGCTGCTTCAATCAGGGCAGATATTTATTCTTAGCAAAGAATCCTGCTTTGAAAGCAGTCCTTGTAAATGCCAAAGCCCTGCACTACCCCACTTGGGAATCATGCCTGCTTTCTCCACTTGTGGAGACTTAGAGAGAAAGGGAAAGAAATAAAAATTCTGCTCTATTCTTCAGGGTTTTCCACATGTTTTCTTTATTCCTCAATGTGCATTAAGTAGCAAAGAACACCTATCAGATCTGAATTTGGTGATATTTAAAGGAGCACGTACAGCACACCTGAGGATGTACAAGAGGGGAAAAGAGGATGGGATGCAAATGAGTGAGCTGATTCTATTCATGAACCTTCTTAAGATGTCTTTCTGGGTTGGAAAACTGCTAACAGTATGATTCTTAAGCTTTATTTCCTTTTTGCCTCCATTTCTACAGAAACAGTTTTTAGAAAAATTGGTGAAATGGTGATAAACATAATATGTGGAAAACTTCAGCACTGCTCTCTTAGCTATAGCTTTCCTGGGCAGTTTGAAAGACAGAGATTCTAAAGACAACAGAATGCCCTAATGATTTTCTATGTTTAATGTTTAGTGCTTCCATTCTATTTTCCCTGTTTTCTAAGTGGCTGGCATATTTTTAGATAAGACGCAACCAAAGACTATTGAGAAAACAACAATGTAAAATAATGATGATGAAAAGGCTCCCAATAAGATGGATGAGTTGTTCTTTTTTTTCTTCCCTATTTCTCATGGATAGAAAGCATTTACCTGTGTTAGCCAAGTGATGAAAAAAAAATAACTGCCACTAGATAGAAAGTAACAGCCTTTTGGAAGGCATGTTGTCCACATTCTGACTACCATTCTTTTCTACTGTCTGAGCTAACAGGACTAAAGAATATAATTTCTCATTCCAATTAACTTGATTGTCTTAACTGTATGAAAACAGCATAGGTAAAATTCATCCTTTAAGTTTCCAGGGAGGAGGCTGACACTGTTCTAACTCTCCCATTACATCATCTTCTGGGCCATAAGAACAGAATTTTGGAGTAAGAAGAAAGGAAGTGGAGGGCATGCCCACCAGGCATAGAGGTACTCTCTCTGTAGCCAAGGGCAAATAACTCTCCAACGATTTAATCACTCAGGGATGATGATCAAGAATACCTAATTTTGGATCTGAGATTAAAATAGTAACAATATGTAGAAGTACTTAGGTCCTCACAGCTTCTAACTTGTAAGCTCTAGCCCAGTGGGGATGCGGGAACCAAAGGAGTCAAAACTTAGCAGAGTCTCTGGCATCCGTCCTTCTATTTCTGCTTCTCACTAGTGCCAGATATTTAAGCGAATTTCTCCGTCCCAGGTTAGTGTGCTCCAGTGTTCAGGGCCTCTGAGCCAGGCCTTCTACCCACCGGCCCTCCAAAGACTCCAAGAGCAGCAGGCAGTGAGAGTACCTAGAATGTCAAAGCACACGCCACTCTCCAGTCGGTGCTTCCTGTACAGGTTCTTCAGAACCTTGGCACTGCCAAAGCGCTTGAAGCGGCTCTTCACATTATTGTAGAACCATTCCAGAGACTGGGCCCTCAGAAGCCTGAGGAGAACAGAAATAGACAACAGAAAATTAGAATTATTAAATGGCGAATTGCAAAACTTCATCACTCCATCCATCAAGATGTGAAGTTTATTTCTCTACCCCTTGATTCTGGGCTGGTCCTGTGACTTTCTCTGACCATGGAAAATGATGAAAGTGATGTGTGAATACTGAGCCCTGCAGTTTCCTCTGTTGCGGTTCTTAGGAATCCCACAATCTTTACCACATGAGTGAGCCCAAGCTAGCCTGTTGTGTGATGAGACACACTTGGCCCTATCATCCCTCTTACCCCAGCCAATAGCCAGCCAACTCCCAGACAGGTGAAAGAAGCCACTGGCCACGAGTTTGACTGGAGACACATGAGTGACCTTAGGTGTAACCAGCAGAACCATCCACCAAGGCATTCCAAAGAGTAAGCCCATAAATGCTGCTATTTTAAACCACAAAGTTTCTGGCCATTTAATAGTAGGCTTTATATTTAATATTCTTACTGTATTAACAATATTTCTAATTCAGTTTGGAAAAATAAAAAGCACAAGGAAGACAGCAAAATTCTCCAGCCTCTTCCTCATTCAGATTGAAGTATTGTGGAAAAGTAGTTTCCAGGTTAATGCTATAATGGTTGATGCATTGGTAAGGTTCAGGCTGGGCACTGTGGCTCACATCTGTAATTTCAGCACTTTGGGAGGCCAAGGCAGGTGGGTCACTTGAGGTCAGGAGTTTAAGACCAGCCTGGCCAACATGGCAAAACCCCATCTCTGCTAAAAATATGAAAACTAGCCAGGTGTGGTGGCGCACACCTATGATCCCAGCTACTTGGGAGGCTGAGGTGGAGAATCGCATGAACCTGGTAGGCAGAGGTTGCAGTGAGCCAAGACAGCACCACTGTACTCCAGCTTGGGAGACAGTGAGACTATTTCAAACAAACAAACAAAAAAAGGCAAGATTCTTCTCTTTTATGCCAGTTGAGAACAAATCTCTAAAGCCTTTCCATTTAAAAAACAGCTGTTTTTCTCATTTTTCTTATTATAAATATAGTAATACACACTTATTTTGAAAATTCAGAAAAGCAGCAGGAACATAAAGGCTTCCAGCTTGATGGAAGAACAAGCCCACATTTAGTTGCTCTTCTTTTCCAGACCCCAGTGAAATGTGAGAGATACCCAAAGGTAAAAAACAATCTATACAAGGGAAGAATGGGGGTGAAGCAAAATCAGAGATTTTGACAATGATAGCATAGAGGTAACAGAGAACAGTGTCCTTCAGAACAGATGGAAGAGCTTGGACTCTAGCTGGAAGGCCAAATTTTGAGTTGGTTGATTCAGAGAGTAGGTTTGGATTATGGCAGTACTCAGACAGGTAATTCAGTGGTTGTGTAGATAATAGTGAGGCCTCTTGGTCCCCCAGACCTACTCCCAAACAAATGGGCAATTGGTTCAAGGATGATTTGTCTTAGGCCCAAAAAATAAAGTGGTTCTCTATTGAAGCTGAACAATCCACTTTAGATTTAGGACATCAGTATGGAGATTAACACCATATAGTGAAGCTGATATAGTTTGGCTATTTGTCCCAGTTGCAAATCTCATGTTGAAATGTGACCCCCAGTGCTGAAGGTGGGCCTGGTGGAAGGCGTTTGGGCTTTTGAGGCATATCCCTCATGAATGACTTGGTGTCCTGCCTGTGGTAATGAATGAGTTCTCACTCTATTACCTCACTAAAGAGCTGGTTGTTGAAAAGAGTGTGACAATCCTCCCTCTCTCTTGCCCCCTCTCTTGCCATGTGACACACAGGCTCCCCTTGCCTTCTGCTGTAAGTAAAAGGTTCCTGAGGTTTTGACCAGAAGCCAACGCTGGCACCTTCTAGTACTGCCTACAGAATCATGAGCCAAATAAACCTCTTTTCTTTATAAATTGCCCTGACTCAGGTATTCCTTCCTAGCAACACAAATGAGCTAATACAGAAGCCCGTATTGTTCAGCAGTGGGGAAACCCCTCATGCTGCCATCAGATGCCATCCCTGCACACCAAAGCAAAGCCTGACAATTGACCGCCTAACTCACAAACTTGGAGCTCTCAGTAAGCACCCTCACCTTTCAGCCCTGAACCCCTTTTGGGAATACTTACCTACCCAATGCAGAGGAGGCCCATGTTGGTTACCCTTATTCACCAACTAAGTCCTTTGTTCAAAAATATGAGTAGATGACCAGAAATCACCAGACATTTGCAACAATACAATGGCATAAGAAGAAAGAGCTGAGACAAACTAACAAAAATTAACAAAGGGCAAAGAAAGGTAACTCAGAGTATTGAAAGTAACTTAAATTCTGATTACTATCCATAATGATTTAAAAAGACACTGCATCCATGTAACAGGCGAGGGTGATGTGAAATATAAGTAGAAGACAGGCAACAACTTACTGGAAATAGAAAACAGGATCGATAAAAAATTTAATAGAAGACCTAAAAGTTAAAATAAACATCAATTTTCTAGAATGTGGAATAAGAAAGCAAACACATGGAATATATGAAAGAAAAGAGACATGAGGGATCAATTCAGGAGATTCAGCATCTAACAGAATTCCAAAAAGGGAGAAAACAGAAAAGGAAAGAGAGGGAAAAAAATCAAAGACATGATAGAAGAAAATTTCCCCAAGCTAAGAAAGGGAAAAGTCTTTAGGTTAAGAGGACCTACCAATTTGCTCAAATAGTAAATGAAACATAAAACAAAATAAAGCAGGTAAACCTACCTTGCTACATCTTCATGAAAATTCAGATCCTCAAAGATAAGGAGAATTTAGGTGCTTCAGACAGAAAAAAATATTTTGCAAATGGACAAAAATAATGATGCTAAAATTTTAAATCAGTAACAATGAATGCTAGAAGACAGTATAGCATAGATTTTCTAAGAATAAATGACATGAACTTAGACTTCTGTATTCAGCTAAGCCATCATTCCAAGAGGGCAAAATGAAGATATTTTCAGATATGTAAGATTGCTTTCTGGAAAAGAAAATTCTCAAGGTATATTGCAGGACAACCAAAAGCCACGCAAGGAAGAGGATCTTGGGACTCTAAAAAGAAGGAAACTGTCCCAGGAGTACAGTGAAGAGAAGTCCTGGGATCGTGCAGCAGATCTGGAAGGTAGGCCCAAACGGGCCATTCAATAAGTGTATAATTAAGAATCTACATGGATGAAGAGAAGTGGTGAAGAAGGAGCCACAACTTTCTTTTGCCAACAAGAGTACACATAAGCCATTAGAAACTTTGGGAAAACCAAAACCAAAACCAAAAACAGCCCAAGAAAATATGCTCTGTGAAGCAAATTAAAAGTTGTAAGGTTTTGTAAACTAATTGAGTGGAAGAAGAAAGATGACCCATTTTTCTTCCAGTAGCCCAAGTGTTACAGCCAAGAATGACAGGTTTTTTTTTTCTCTTTATTAAGTCACAACTTTGGTCTCTAGAAAATAATATTTATATAATTTAGAAACTGTTTGATTTTCACCCTATTTATAGATAAAACATAAAAGGAGCATACTGTCAAGATATTTACATTTGTTATTGAAAGAAAAATAAAAAAATCATTGATAGCCTGATAGAAACCTGGATGTAGAGAGAAAGAGAATGATGAGGGTAGTTCAGAGATGCTAATTTTCCATCTTGCAGAGTGGGGTCAAAATTTTAGAGAATGCAGTTAAGACAGACTGTGTAAGGTATATATACCAAAGATAATGGTTTCAATGTGCTATTAAAGCCATAGAGTTCACCAGCATAGAATTAAAATTTTTAATAAAACTTCAAGGGGAAGGTAAGGAGGTAGGAAAAAGTCATCTATTCATGAAAGTCTAAAGACTAATCAATAAATGGCAAGATAAACATATTATGTAGGAGTATAGCGGTAGCCCCCAGAAATGTTTGAATGTGATTCTCTGGGGGACTGGGACTTGGAAAAAAGTTGGGGACATGAAATCCTTTTAATTTAATATCTTTTACTGTCTGAATTTCTTTTAACCAAGTACATGTATTCCTATAAAACACTGAAACAAAAACAAGCAAAAGAAGATTTAGAAAACTACCCAAAGTTCTACTACTGGAACCTGGCATTAGATGAGTGTTCTTTCAGACTTCCATGCAAGGTGTTTGTAATCAGCCTACATAAAGACTGGGAGGGGTCCTGGAACTCATAATGGGAGTGTGTGTGTGTGCAAATGTGCATGTGCTCATGTGTATTTGTGTGTATGCATGTGTATATGTGTGTGTATTTGTGTGTGTGTATTCATGCAGGCACAGAGAAGGCAGGGACCAAGAAGTCAGTCTAAAGCTGGTTGGTGCTGAAGGGGCTCCAGGGCCAGCGTGGCTCTGAGAGACTGAGTTTTGCAACAGGGACGATGTGCTCCCTCTTTCCACAAAGTTTTGCAGAAAGGGGCTGTGGGGCAGTAGCAGGGCAGCCACTTGGAGTGTCCAGGCAACAGTGATGGTGGCAGTGGGGAGGTGTGCCCCTTTAAAACAGTGACTCCAACGAAGAGAAAAGGCCACAAATGGGTTTTCCTGAGCACATGTGTGTTTCAGTACACACAGTGTTCACACTATCTTTCAGCAAACATGCTCACACTGGCTTTGATCTTGCTCCTCCCTCTGCCTATAACACAGTTCTCCACAGATAGTCTCAGATAGGCTCAATCCATCACTTCATTCAGGTCTCTGTGCAAATACCACTTCCCTTGGGAGGCCTTCCCTGACCACCCTTGCTAAAACACCACCACCACGCCACCACGTCTGTCCTCTTACTCTGATTTTATTCCTCATATTTTCATAGAATACTTCTTTGTACCTGCTGTTTAGTGATATATAATTGCCTATGATTAAGTAATTATGACAATAATCACTATATTAACACATTAATTAAGTTAATTATTAATTTGTTTGTTATCTATTTCTCCTCCTAGGTAGAACGTAAGCTCAAGGAAGACAGAATTTTTTTCCCACTCCTGTATCCGATGTGCC